GTTTGACGTTTAAGAAATATTTTAAAATACTCCAAGCTGCAGAGATAACATTGACCTGGGTCAGCTACTGTTGTATCTCCACGTAGAGTCCGTGCCAATTGTTTACAGGGAGAAACAGAAATAAAATTGTTGTTAGATACAACTTCAGGAGCTTTTCCTTTCTTTTTAGAGGAATATTTTTCCAACAGTAGTTAGTGTTCTTGTCCTTTAAATACTTAGATTCTTAAGTTGAACTGAGCTCAGATCAGATTAGATTTAGACTAAACTCAGCGTTTAGTCTAAATCTACCCAAGTGAAGGTGTCTTATGTGGGTTATAGTTAATGTAGCTACTCAGAGAGCATACCTTAATTAAGAATAACAAATTATAATAATGGTAATAATTTACTACTCAAGGTAGTAAATAAATGGGTGGTTATTGAGGCAGCTTTGTCACAGCTAATATATGTTGTTTTTAAGCAATAAGCGAAGCAGATGGCCCTATTTTGTATTTTTTTTTTAATCATGCAGGAAATGAGGCAGCACGATGTGCAGGAACTAAATCGGATTCTGTTCAGTGCTTTGGAAACTTCTCTTGTGGGCACTTCAGGTCACGACCTCATTAACAGATTGTACCACGGGATTGTTGTCAACCAGATTGTTTGTAAAGAATGCAAGAACATCAGTGAGAGACAGGTAAAGCCAGATGATTTTCCAAGATAAGTTTTGTTCAGTCCATTGAAGATACTTTAAATGTTCTTTTTTTTTTTTTTTTTTTATTCCTTTACAGCTTCAACGGTTATTTGCCCAGCTTCTGCTCTTGGACCAGCAGGCTGCATCTACGACAGACCTTACGGAGAGCTTTGGGTGGAACAGTCAGGAGGTACAAATCACTGTCAGTGACACCATAATTGAGAAACCTTTTCCTGAATGGAGATGTTTTTCAAGTTTGACGTTTAAGAAATATTTTAAAATACTCCAAGCTGCAGAGATAACATTGACCTGGGTCAGCTACTGTTGTATCTCCACGTAGAGTCCGTGCCAATTGTTTACAGGGAGAAACAGAAATAAAATTGTTGTTAGATACAACTTCAGGAGCTTTTCCTTTCTTTTTAGAGGAATATTTTTCCAACAGTAGTTAGTGTTCTTGTCCTTTAAATACTTAGATTCTTAAGTTGAACTGAGCTCAGATCAGATTAGATTTAGACTAAACTCAGCGTTTAGTCTAAATCTACCCAAGTGAAGGTGTCTTATGTGGGTTATAGTTAATGTAGCTACTCAGAGAGCATACCTTAATTAAGAATAACAAATTATAATAATGGTAATAATTTACTACTCAAGGTAGTGAATAAATGGGTGGTCATCGAGGCTGGCTTTGTCACAGCTAATATATGTTGTTTTTAAGCAATAAGCGAAGCAGATGGCCCTATTTTGTATTTTTTTTTTAATCATGCAGGAAATGAGGCAGCACGATGTGCAGGAACTAAATCGGATTCTGTTCAGTGCTTTGGAAACTTCTCTTGTGGGCACTTCAGGTCACGACCTCATTAACAGATTGTACCACGGGATTGTTGTCAACCAGATTGTTTGTAAAGAATGCAAGAATATCAGTGAGAGACAGGTAAAGCCAGATGACTTTCCAAGATAAGTTTTGTTCAGTCTGTTGAAGATACTTTAAATGTTCTTTTTTTTTTTTTTTTTTTTAAACTCCAAAAATAATAACTTAATTCTTGAGTGTGTCACTGGTGGCCTTGTTGAATCTAGGTAGTGTTAGAGTGCTGCAGGCTTGAAAATGGGAAAATTATGTAGGACTGTTGTTAAGTCTTGGATGGCATTTTCTAAACCACCTACATGGGGCTGTGACTCAGGTAAAAAGCAAGTGTTATTGCATCTTCTGAGTTGGCAAGCATTGCCTTGAGTAGATGTAGTTAGCAAGAGAGCTGAACAGTGGGGTAACAACAGTAAAACATATCTTTACAGTCTTTTATGCTCTTTGTAATTTAGAAAGGTCTATTTTCTTGGTTTTTTTGTTTGTTTGGTTGGTTTTTTTTAAATTACTTTCTCTTCTGTGGATGTGTGGGGTTTTATTTCCATCAGTAATGAAGGCAAAAAGAATGCTTAGATCTGCTGTGGTGAATAAGAAGAATATTTTTCTACTATACTGTGAACTTACACTGCTTAACTACCTTACTTCTTGTTGTACTTCTGCACAGGAAGACTTCTTAGACCTAACAGTGGCCGTCAAAGGTGTTGCTGGCTTGGAGGAGGCCCTGTGGAACATGTATGTAGAAGAAGAGTACTTTGAAAATGAGAATTTGTATCAGTGTGGAACCTGTGATAAACTTGTTGAAGCTTCGAAGGTAATGCATTGGTGATTCTCAGTGTTCAGTTTGCTAACCATTATACATGGCTGTGTCTATATCTTTATCTTTAATCTATATCTTTAATCAGAGGAACTTTGTTTACGTTGCTGTGTCTGTGTCTTTATCTTTAATCTATATCTTTAATCAGATAGTGTATAGCAAGAGGATGCCAAAATCTGACCTGTGTTTTAAACCTCAACAACTATGTCAAGAAAAGCTCATGTTGAATGTTCTTGTGGTCTTTAATCCAGCTGATGGTGAATGGGGTGGCGTGTAGTTTCCAGAGTATTGCCTCAATCACCTCTACAGGCACCTGGCTTTGGGCATTTCAGAGGATAGGCTGAAAGAGAAGCTAGAATATAAAAATTAAATAAATAAATGGCTCCATGTAATTAAGAAAACCATGGAAATTCTCTCCTGAAGAACCCAAATGGGAGAGAAAAATAATGAACAACTGTTATTCCACACAGGCAAATGGCATCTGTTGATCCAGGTATTGCATTGTTTCCCTGATGTGGATCAGGGTCTTGCAGTGATAAATTAACACCTCAGTAGGTGTTTTCAATATGTTCTGTGTTTGAAATATATTCTATATTGTATATTCTGTGTGCTAGAGCCTTCAGGTAAGTAAGAATGTATTCATGCAAGGAACCATCCAGCTCTTCTAATGTGGAGGACACCAGGTGTGTTTTCACAGTGTTTGCCTGTGGTGTTTCCACCTGGCAGCTTCTGGTACCACCACCAGCACTTTGTGTCCTCTCTCGGTGAGCTTTTCAGCCATATGCCACATGCCAACCCAGTGGCTTCCATCCATGGGCACCCCCAGGAGTTTCCCTCCTGGGAAGGAGGGAAAGAGGCCAAGAAGGAGGAGGATAAAAGTTCAGGCAGCAAAGTTGCAAAGGCGTGTTCCTGTGGTCAGGATATGGACTGTGAAGGTCTTCTCCTTCAGGCAGTAGCTTGAAGATGCTTTTGAAGGACGCCAATGGGTCTATCTGTGGAGTTGTTGCTGCTTTGTCATAGTGGAGTGAATGATTTACTGCTTTGACCTGTGCTCAGCTATGGGTGAGAACTGTTACTTTGGATTTTTTTGGGTTTTTTTTGGTCTAAAATCACTTGTACAGCCAAATGCAGTGACCCTTTTCCTTTGCTGAGTCATCGGAGTTCCTCAGCGTTCACCAGAGAGCTGTTGACATTAACGTGGAAGGGAGTGGATGCAAAGGCAAGCTGAGGAGAGATGAAGTTAATCAGTGACTCAGGAGTTCAGAAGCATCTGCCAGTGCCTCGTGTGGCTTGATCTATAAAGGCTTATTTGTGTTTAAACTTTGCTGGGTTCAAGGGAGTGCAAGGGAAGAGTTGTTTACCTCTCAAATGTGCTTATCTGTGCAAGAAGCCCATGGGGACTCTGGTACTGGGTAAGAAGTCACATAGCTGGGAGATGCCAGGGTGTGAATGGACAATCTCAAGAAAGAGTTGAACAATCTCATGGTCCAGAACTTTATCAAATTCTAATTATACAGTCTGATTTTCACCCTTAACTTGGAAGAACATGCAAAATCCTTTGTGCCACTAGGCTCTGCGATGTAATCTTTGTGATTGACACACATGAAATGCCTAAATCAGGGAGGTTTTTACACACTGTGTGTGTTCCTGTGAGGGTCTGTTACAGCTCTGCAGGTGGAGAGTTGGATGGAGGCATTGGAAAGGCTCAGAGGCGTGTCTGTTGAACCAACACTTGGATTCACAGGTGATAAAAGTTGGTTGGTTTTGCTTCACACCAGGGTTCCTGATGTGCTCACACACAAAGTTATTCAATCTTGATTAATATTTTCCTTGCTAAAGTGGATTATGTTGACTTTCCTGCCTTGAAGGTCCTCTCCTGGATAAATGAGGGAGACCTATCACTTGCTTGGTTATTCTGTGGCTGGCTGTAGGGTCTTCCAAGATACACCTACGCTGTGCTGCACAGCATTGTGCTTGTTTACTGTAGCCCACAGATCTTAGTCAAGGCCCTTTTCTTCAAGCAGGCTGGCAGATCTTAGGCAAAATGCCACTGTGATATATTCTGGTGACATTTTTCAGACCATTTCTGTTGCATTTGGAGGCAGCCTAACAGGACATAGAATCATAAAATGGTTTGGGTTGGAAGGGACCTCAAAGATCATCTAGTTCCACCCCCCTGCCCTGGGCAGGGACACCTCCCACCAGCCCAGGTTGCTCCAAGCCCCATCCAGCCTGGCCTTGAACCCCTCCAGGGATGGGGCAGCCACAATTTCCCTGGGCAACCTGTTCCAGTGTCTCACCACCCTCATAGTAAAAAATTTCTTCCTGATCTCTTTTTTTCTGGACAATATACACTGTGCTGTGGTTTTGGGAGGAAGGGAAGGGCTTAAGGGTCTGGCACCGGGGCAAGGAGTTCTCTGGGCCACCACCATCAATGGAGAGAGGAAACCTACCACCATCAATGGAGAGAGCAAACCACACAGCAAACTTCTCTAATTTTATATTGAATGTGACATTCATGGTATGAAATAATGCTGCTGGGTCAAGTGCCCAGGCTTCACTTCTCCTCATCCCCGCACGTGACAAGACTCAAACACTGAGACCTTGAATCCCACATCCCAGAGCTGGCTATAAAGTAAATATTTTCACAAATTCAGACATTTGAACCTTCTAAAAGTGCAGTTTTCCCCAACATCAGAAGAAAAGTTAGTCCTGCGTCGCTCAACCCAGCACACACGTGTTGCTCTTCTGCAGCACCTGCTGCTCAGCAGGAGTTTGTGTTTTTTCTTGGGGCTTCCAGGGTTGGTGTGGGACCATTGGTGGTAGGTGCTGTGGAGATGCTGATGGCTGGGAAGATGCTATATGGTCTGACTTCATGCCTAAGCACAAACCCAGGGGTTTGAAGCAATTGCTTCTTAGTATAAAAATCAAGAAAATCTTCTTGCAAAGAACTCCTGGGCTACGGAAATGTATTTACTGACTTGAATTTCAGCAATGCCCTCCTTCATTGCCTGGAGGAAGATAAAGTATGGGACTGGTGAGCACCATTTGGGGAAGGTGTAGGACTTCATGGAGGGGAAGGATCTGGATTGCTTTTAGAATGTCTAGTTGGTAGGAAATTCAGAATTAAGGAAGACAGTTTGAAAATTAAAACGCTGACTTGATGGAAAGTAAAGAGTTGACCGTAGCAAAGTAGAAACATTATTCCATATAACCATGTGCTTACAACTTTTAAAAATCATTTTACAGTCTGCTAAACTCCGCAAGTTGCCACCCTTTCTCACTATTTCTCTCCTGAGATTCAACTTTGACTTCGAGAAGTGCGAGCGATACAAGGAAACGAGCTGCTACACGTTCCCTATCCGGATAAACCTGAGGCCTTTCTGTGAGCAGGTTTGTGCTGTTTATATTTGTTAAAGTTTGTATATAATCTGCAGAGAACCAATATCTCAAGGCAAAGTTATCTTTTGTTTTGCGTTTTGTCGGGTCAAAGAATTTGAGAAACTTTGTGGGGTTTCCTTCTGTCCCCAATTTGAATTTTTTGGAATTCGGATTTGTTGCCCAAAAATCCACTTTCTAACTTTCTAACTGAATGGGAAATGCCTTGTAGCTATAGAAGGGGAAATAATTACCTAAAACTTAGTCTGACATTTTCTTGAAGATGATCACCTGGAAACTGAAATTAAATTTGGGTTAATATTGTCACTGTCTGATAACTTCATGTGTAAATTTAGCTATATATTTTTTACAGGCCTGTAGTTATTTCATTATTTTAGGAATGTGTCTTTGCATTCATCTATATGTATTTTGATTATAAACAGCTATAGTAGTGCTTGATATACATAATAGAGGCACTGTTATTGAAAAAGCAATTTTTCAAAAGACAGGTTGAGCTGTTCAATTATTTGTATCAATACTTAATTATTTTAAATTTCCAGTATTGTTCAGTCATGCCTAAAAAGTTGCTTAATAAACCTTTTTTTTTTGTCTGTGGTTTATGGGTTTATGTCAGTCCGTTGCTTCTTACCTGAAGCTATGCTGATGGTATAAAACTGACCTTGTGTGACAGAGTTACTGATATATATTATTGTTGTTATTATTGTTTTTCTTTTTAAAGACTGAAATGGATGATTCAGAGTACATGTATGAGCTCTTCTCTGTTATTATACATAAAGGTGGCTGCTATGGAGGACACTATCATGTTTATATCAGAGATGTGGATGAATTAGGAAACTGGCAGTTACAAGTAAGTCCTGAAGGTTCTTCTTCCTTGCTTGATATATCTAATTTTTCAGAAAAGTACCTAGTGGATAAAATGTACATCCAAACTGATCAATATTTTGGTCTCTTACCTCATGGAGAAGGGTAGTTTTCCACAGTATGTGGTATTTGTTAAGATTTTGTAGCAAATTTTAGGATCTGCTAAACTATCTCATGTTACCAGGCTCACTATACATGAATTAATCTTTGCTCAAGAGCAGCACAGTCATTTGAATGGATGACTCTGGATGGCTGTTTGTAAATAAAGCCTTTTTCTCTTAAAAAAAACTGATAGTTGATGTTCTGTATGACATCATACAGTCTGTAGCAGGTGCCAGAGACAGCGTATCAGAACTTCCTTCACACTTTAAAATGCATCCTACTGCTAATACAGATTATAATAGAAAACAGCTATTTCTGTGTGAAACAACAGTATTTGTGAGCCTATTGTTTTTCTTCTACAGGAAGAAGAGGATAGACTGATTGAAGATAACACTTTAAGAGATACCGAAAATGGCCAAGAAATAGAAAATCCGTTGGCTGTCTTGAAAAGGATTTTATCAGAGGTATGGTATGTAAGGGGTTTACTGCTTTGATTTTGGTGTCTAGGAACCTAGAAGGGGTTAGTGTATGTGAGAGTGGGCTGAACTTGTGAAGCATATAAAATTTGTAACTTAACCTGACTTTAACAGTGTCTCTTCATACAGAAATCAGCCCTTTTTGATTATTTCTTAAGTTGCTTACCTAAGCTGTTGCAAAGTGTAATGTCACCTTGTCTTGTTAACAAGTAGGAAAGATTTGAGCACTTCAGAATTGACTTTTGTGGCCTTTGTTTTAATTTCTCTGTAGGAAGAATCTAAACAAATTCCTGTGGATCAATTAGGGCAGAAATTTTTGGAGAAAAATGGAGTGTCCTGGAATAAGAAATACAGAAAACAATGTGGAGCGTTACGGAAGGTACTTAACCTGACTTTAACAGTGTCTCTTCATACAGAAATCAGCCCTTTTCGAGTATTTCTTAAGTTGCTTGCCTAAGCTGTTGCAAAACGTGATGTCACCTTGTCTTGTTAACAAGTAGGAAAGATTTAAGCACTTCAGAATTGACTTTTGTGGCCTTCGTTTTAATTTCTCTGTAGGAAGAATCTAAACAAATTCCTGTGGATCAATTAGGGCAGAAATTTTTGGAGAAAAATGGAGTGTCCTGGAATAAGAAATACAGAAAACAATGTGGAGCGTTACGGAAGGTGATACACATGTATTTTACTGTTATGATAACTTTATATTCCTATTGAATAGCCCGTAGGATGGTGATTGAAAATACTGGCACTTGGACTAGCAAGATAGAGCGTGTGTAAGAGGTTTGTAAGATAAATTAGTAAACTGGGAAACATGGAGAAGACTCTCAAGGGACCGTCTACTGAAAGTGTTGGGTAGTTGGTGTCCTCCCCCATCTCTCAGGAGCCATGGTTTTGTTTTGTGTCATTTGGACACCAAGCTTGTTTGAAGAATCTGCATGCTGCTAAAATGCAAGTAGAGAACCAAGTGGATAAGCTGGGCAAAACAGTGTGAGGAGGCTTTAAGTTCTTGAGATGCCACAACAGGCAGTGTTAATTTGTGTAGGGTACAGCTCAGCAGACCAGGATTGAGCTCAATATCCCTGCCTGGCAAATATAGAAGGGAGCATTTCTCACAGAATCACAGGATGGTCGGGGTTGGAAGGGACCTTTGGAGATCATCTAGTCCACCCCCCCTGCCAGAGCAGGGTCACCCAGAGCAGTTGGACAGGAACGTGTCCAGGCAGGTTTTGAGTATCTCCAGAGATGGAGAATCTACAACCCTCTCTGGGCAGCCTGTGCCAGGGCTCTGACCCTCAAAGTAAAGAAGGTTATCCACATGTTCAGATGGAGCTTCCTGTGTTCCAGCTTGTGTCATTTTCCCCTTGTCCTGTCACTGGGCACCACTAAGAAGAGCCTGACCCCATCCTCTTGACAGCCACCCTTTAGATTAAGCATTGATGAGGTCCCCTCTCAGTCTTTTCTTCTCTAGGTTAAACAGACCCAGGTCTCTTAGCCTTTCCTCATCAGAGAGGTGCTCCATTCCCTTCATCATCATTGTAGCCTCCACTGGACTCTTTCCAGTAGTTGCCTGTCCTTCTTGAACTGGGGGACCCACAACTGGACACACTGCTCCAGATGTGGCCTCACCAGGGCAGAGAGGGAGGATGACTTCCCTCGACCTGCAGGCCATGCTCTCTTTCATGCACCCCAGGAGGCCATTGGCCTTCTTGGCCACAAGGACACTTTTCTGCAGAGACTAGGGATTGTAAAGTACCAGTGCTGGGAGCTGAACTGGTTGGGATGGTACCCTATAGAGCATCCATCACACCCTAAGCTGCCTTTCCAGGGACAGAGCGTACACACTTGTGAGAAGTGTTTTAAAAGCACTCCAGTGTCTGAAAAAAGCCCTCCAAATCCAGAAGTTAGTCTGCTTTAATTCTTACTGATGTTAAAAATAATTATTTTTGCAGTGTCTTGCACGATAGTTCGAAGTTATACAAGAAATGAAGCCAGCAACAGAGTAGAAAAGATCAGACAAATAAGTGGTGGTAGGAAAATTACATTTTTTCTGTCTAAACTTAGAAAGAGGTGAAGAGGCACCATAAAATTAAGTTTGAACGGATGAGTTTTGGGTATCGATTTGAGGATGAATCGGGTGAAGTAGCTAATGCAGGCTGCTGTATTTAAAACCGGGTGTCTTCTTAATCTTGTCCTTGCTTTCATTTTAGTATTTGCAGAACCACCCTCAGATCTTTCAGTTCAGTCCCGATGAAAATAAGGTTGGTTTGAAGGAAAAACACAAGGTCCTGTTTAAGTCAGATTCTCAAGGACAAGATCTCCAAAGCCCTCCTCAGAAGAACGATGTCCGGTGGAATTCAGAAAAAAACCCTACGAGGCAAAGGGACAGCTCTGCTGGTTGCCACTGGTTTGATCTGAATGATTCGAAAGTCCAGCCCATCAAGGAGAAGGATATTGAGAAACAATTTCAGGGTAAAGAGAGTGCCTACATGCTGTTTTATCGAAAATCTCAGTTAAAGAGACCGCCTGAAGGTACACAAAGCTCGTCTTGCTATTCTGGGGGCTTCCTTCGTTGCCAGTTTGTTTTCTGGAGGGGAAAAGGCTGTTGGGCCTTTCTGTCTTCTCCCAGAACTGAAGATACAGTTTTCTTTCTAGTGCTCATTTAAAAAAAGGGTTAAGAAGGGTTAGTTAATAAGATAGACGGAGATTACCTCCAAGGAATTAGCGACCGGTTAATTGGCTGTGGCTGACACTAACTCTTTTCTGAACCTACACTTCAGAAATATTCATAGAATCGTAGAATTGCCCAGGCTGGAAGGGACCTCCAAAGGCCATCTAGTCCGACCCCCCCGCAGTCAGCAGGGACACCCCCAACTAGACCAGGTTGCCCAGGGCCTCGTCGAGCCTCTCCTTGAATATCTCCAGGGATGGGGCCTCAACCACCTCCCTGGGCAACCTGTTCCAGTGCTCCACCACCCTCACAGTGAAGAACCCTCTCCTCATCTCCAGTCTAAATCTGCTCCCCTCCAGCTTGAAGCCATTGCCCCTCGTCCTGTCACTGCAGGCCTTTCTAAACAGGCTCTCCCCAGCCTTCCTGTAGGCCCCCTTCAGGTACTGGAAGGCTGCTATTAGGTCTCCCCGGAGCCTCCTCTTCTCCAGGCTGAACAACCCCAGCTCCCTCAGCCTGTCCTCGTAGCAGAGGTGCTCCATCCCCCTGATCATCCTTGTGGCCCTAATTTTAGCAGAACCTCTCCTGCTGGCACAAATAGGAGTTGGTGCTGAGAGCATTCATGTCTCAGTTTCCCTTGGGGAAAGACTGCTGGGAAGAAGTAAAAGCGCTTGTTTTATTCCTTGTATCATCTTGCCGTTTAATTTTCTCTCTTATGAAAGAATGCAACATGATTGCTTTGAATTTTCAATGATTACTGTACTGTAATGTTGCATCTTGATCACTTTTCTTGTTTGCCAAAAACACATGTTAAGCAGCTGAGGCCAAACTAGCCTATATTATTTGTTGCAGCGCGAGGAAATCCAAGGTACCAAATTCCTGAGCACCTTCTGAATGAAATGAATGCTGCTAATACTGAGCTGCAAATGAAGAGGTATATTAATGTCAACGTACCAATCTCTTAAACAGCATTCTTAATCTGCAGATTGCCAAAGTGATTTAAAAGGAAAGAAGCTCATTGAGTGGAGTCAGATGCTAAAATGATGCAATGTCATAGAGGTTAATCGAGGAATACAATTTGTACAGTCCAGATTCTGCCTTCTACTGGTTTTCTGCCTCCCTGTTAGTGGTGTAGCTGGGCTTTCTACAGAATTTCAATGGAAAGCTACTTGCAATTTAAAATTGCACCCATTTTTTATGAAAATCAGTGCAACTCTGGAAGGAGAACGGAACGCTTTCTTAATTACGTTTATAGAGGGGAGCTCTCCATTGGGAGGAGGAATGACTTGCTTTTCTGTGAAACAACAGATAAATGGTATCCTTTGCCAGAAACGTGGAGGGGAAAAGCTAGGGGTATTCAGGTTGGTTGAAATTTTTCCTTCTGTTGAGGAACACCCAGAAAACTGATGATACGCCCGATTGGCAGTTAAACTATCAAAATACAGACCTGCACAAGAGACACAAGTTTTGTGGGATCTCTCTGTACTGGGTGAATGTCACTCCTTTATTTTTTTTTTTTTTTAAATGCTGTGTTTGCTGCTACGTTTAGCTAATACAGCTGGGTGCAGGTATAAAGCTGGAAGGCCTGGCTGTGTCTGTCCTGACTCCCTTTCCATCCAGTTTTTCCTCTCTCTGCGTTTCCAAAAAAAAAACCCAACCGTATAATCTCCACGTTCCTACAGATGAAATTTGCTGTTCTGTTTAGAAAGGTAGAAGCAAGGTGTAGAAACACACAGAAAGCACTATTCTAGTGCTTATGGGGAGGATGTCTGTGCTAGCTCTGTCATATCACATGGAAATCACTGTCATCTTTGTGCACCTCTTGATGGAGGGAGGAATGTGACAGTGAACTTAGCCATGGGGGTGATTGGTTCCAGCTCAACTGCCCAGAAGCATCTCTGAGATAAACTAACCCATTTGTCAGGTGTTAAATTCACTGCTGTGTTATTGTGTTGTTCTTCCAAAGAGAGGAATGTGACTCTGCAAACAACGGCGTTGATTTGCATCTCCATTTGAGTTCCTGTTACAAATTTCACAATGGGGCTCTGCATCCTTCTCATACTTGGAGAGAGAGCGTTGTGGATTTGACTATTGATAGAAGAAAAACTCTAGGAGACCTTCGACAGTCAGTATTCCAGGTATTTGCTGCATTAAATGAACTCAAACACCTGATTTTTTACGTGAGCTGCAACAACATTTAGTTATGTATTTATACCACATTTTTTATCTCGATGAGATAAAAAAATTTTCAACAGTAAATATTATTTTAGGAGGCTAAAAATTAGATGGATTTACACAAAGGAAACACTGGTTTGAGGTCTGTTCTTGAAGTATTGAAGCATCCATGAAATTGATGAAACTTTAACTATGAAGGCTTTAAAGGCCTCATAAGCAAATTATTTGTAATTTGGGCAGCTTGTTCATGGGCACGGATTGATGCTCTGCAAAACTTCAGGCTTATTCTTCACGTCCCATTTTGACAGATTTATTTGTGTTTGTATTTTCAGGGAGCTAGCTGGGCTTAAAAGGAAAACAGAGTAGATTAAGAAAAAAGAGAAGTAGTTAGGAAATATTTAGCTTAACTATTGAATGTGGTATCTTTGCATTTATTCTCTACTGTGTTATAGGAATATGACAGTTGGTAAAATGCTTTTTAAATGAAAACTAACTCAATTTCAGGAAGTGCTGTTTGCTTTTCTTGTACCTCACAACCTTCAGTTAGTGGCCAGTTGAAACTTTATTTTTCTCTGTCTGGTGACTAGCCTGAAAGGCCAAGTCCTAAATCCTTGCTTGTTTTCCATGTTATTAGGCTTGTAGAATCAAATAGCTGTGATTTTTGAAGTGGCAAAGTGAGCTTGGTAGCCAGGCTCTAGCAGCTTTCAGCAAAGTATTATTATTTTTTTTTAATTATTCAGTTTTTTTTTTAATTCTTCACGATTAGATGTTGGAATCTTGAAATATTTTTTTTTAATTATTCAGTATGATTTTTTTTTTTTTAATTCTTCCCAATTAGATGTTGGAATCTTGGGAAGGAGACATGATTCTCAGTATTGCCAGGCCTTTACCAGCAGGACTGCATCTTTACCAGATACTTGATGGTAAGACTACTGCATACAAGGCTTCCATGTTGGTTAGATGTTGTATTTACTGCAGACATCGAGGATTTCATATATAAATCATCTTGGAGTTGTGTATTACTGAACACTCTTCAACCTCAAACTTAGTGGAATTCCACTGCTGTTATTTAGGGCACTTTATTAATGAAATGAAAGTTTTAGAGACATTTGTACATAACCTTTGCTGTGAAGTGCAGTAAGACTGCAGATGTTATGCAAGTTAAACATATTTGCTGACAAATGTGTATCAGTCTGTATTTTGACCTTGATTTGCTTATGAATGTTTGATTTCATAGCATTTACCTGGTAGCTAGAGGATAGGCTATAAGAGAGGAGCCAGGGTGAAATAACAAAAATGTAGGTTAAATCTAAGCTGAAGTAGGAATTTTGTAAAGGAAAATGTTTACATAAGGAGGACATTAATTTATTAGGAGTACATTAGTATTTTAAAATCATGAGTTCTGTCGGCAGCAATTCTAGGTGTTAGTCTTTAAAAGCCTATTATTCAGCCATTTTTGAATTTTATAGTCTTTATGGCACTCACAGCTGCTGTCAATATTCCTCCACATACTAGTACAAGTTCTTTAAATGACAGGGACTTTTAAAAAAAAAAAATCTGAATCTCACCTGCAGCAGGAAGGTAAAAGAAGCTGCAGCAGGAGCATTAGTATTGCAAAGAATGAGCTTGGAATGTACAGTATGTAACTCGTTTATTAAATCCAAGCTTTTTTATTTTAAATTACTGATTCACTGTTAAATCTCAGGTAGATAATCCTGACCAAACAACTTTGCCAAGTGCTAACTTGAGCCTCGGTTTGCAAGGGAAATTGAATTGAAACCCAGTATTTGGATTATGGTTATTATATTATATTGTAGTGTTTGTATAGTATAATGTACTATAATCTTATATTATAGTATTTGATTAATCTGCAGCCCTCTGCTTAATGAGAGTGCCCTAGGGGTGTGTACCCACTTGTGTTGCTCTTGCTGCATGAGTGAACCCTAATTACCCTCTGTAAATGGCTACACTTGAGCCAGCGTGGTTTATTTTTCATTTTTAAAGTGTATTATTTCAATCATTTTTCATTGACTAGCTGACCCTCCTCATCTGTTTCATGGAGGGCAACAACTTGATGATTTGCTCCTTTTTAGGAGATGTATTTTTTCATTGACTAGCTGACCCTCCTCGTCTGTTTTTGTGGAGGGCAACAACTTGATGATTTGCTCCTTTTTAGGAGATGAGAGGACACTGGATGGCATTGGGCTGGCTGATGGAGCAGACATCTTCGTGTGGAATGGCAAAGAGGTAAAAGCACCAAAACCCTCTCTTCTTGACAATTCTGAAGAAATAAGATGCAGTTTCCAGACATGGGTTTTGGAAATGCTGATTTGTTCTGCAGGTGTGCTGCTGACAGACCAGTTTTGGCACTGATTAATAGCAATGCACGAACAAAAACTTAATGCCCTGTAGTGAATAATTCCACATTTAAAATTAGACTTATGAATGACTAATTCTATGTATGGTCTCCCTAATGTACTGTGCTTCTTTTTCTAGTGTTGCATCTTCCTTTTAATATCAAGGCTTCTGCATAACTTTCAAATACTTGTCTTAGTGGTTACGCAACATAACATTTTATTCCATCTCTGTACTGGAATAAAATTTTACTTTTAAAATATTTTTGTTATAAAAGTATACGTTTTCTTCCTCATTTATCACCCAGCCCCAAAAATGAAAAGAAAACATCTAGTAACACAATTTTTCTTGTCGTGCTTGTACTTTTGATATGGTCTTCACTACTCCAGCTTCCTGCCTGATCAGATTGCTTTTGTCAAGGGGCTGTATTTTTGGTTGAAATATCAGAAAGGTCAGATTTTAAAGTCTTAACTCTTTTGACCTGCCTCAGTCACGCTTTGGGGTAGTTCTTTAATATCTCTGAATTTCTTTATTCTTAATCTGATGGAGACCAAGTGTCCACTGGTTTCCCAGCTACTGTTATGGATATATTTGCTGTACATGCAAGTATCTCAAGGGAGGGTTGAAGGAGGAGGGAGCCAGACTCTTTTCAGTGGTTCCCAGTGAGAGGACGAGGGGCAACGGGCACAAGTTGGAACATAAGAGGTTCCACTCAAATATGAGGAGAAACTTCTTCACGGTGAGGGTGGCAGAGCCCTGGAAGAGGCTGCCCAGGGAGGGTGTGGAGTCCCCTTCTTTGGAGATTTTCAAGACCCGCCTGGATGCTCCTGAGTAACATGCTCTAGCTCTAGGCAATCCTGCTTCAGCAGGGGAGTTGGACTAGATGATCTCTATGGTCCCTTCCAACTCTAAAAAATTCAGTGAAATACAGACCTTTGGAACAGACCTTTAACATTATTCCTTCTCTTCCTAACACCTTTGACATCTTCTAGTTGTTTGTTCAGTAGGCATTTGGATAAAGGTGGTTTATTTCTAATGAGGAGAGAGCATCCATCTTTGTCTCTCAACCATAGTATTGTTGTCATTTATTGCTGACCAGCCTTTTCTGTGTTTTATTGATCACCTCTGCATACATCTTGCATTCCTGACTTCAGGTTGGTGGCACAAAGGTGATGACGGGCCCTGATCACGAACCTGTGGTCGTAAACGTTCTTCGTTTGGCGGAGTATAACGAAGGAGGGAAGGGCCAGCATTTCACAGAGTCGCAGCACGTCTTCTCATGCAGCACAAAACTAGGTGATCTGCGCAGAGCCCTGGCACCATCAGGAGGAATCATCTTAAAAAATGGCTCGGGACCAGATGAAGCCAAGAACTGGGAGGTTTTTCTTGAAGAAGATATGAGGGAAACGCTCAGAAGCGTTGGTCTCGCGGATGGATGCTCAGTACTAATCTTAGACAGCCATGACCAGAGGTAACCATTTTGATAACAATTATAATGTAGTGCTGGGAGATACGGTTTAGTGATGGTGTTGCTTTTTGTTTGTTGTGTGGGTGTCTATTTTTGTCAAAGTTAAGTTGACCGTTGGACAAGATGATCTTTAAGGTCCCTTCCAACCTAGAAGATTCTGTGATTCTGTGATAATTCAACAAAAAGTCAATTCTGACAGAATCTTTTGAGTTAAATTATGCTAGCTACATATATATTCTTTTAACTAATTGTCACTTTGAGCTTTCATTCAATATAATGTAATCTTAAATTTTGGGGATCAGGTACCTACTAACTATTAGATATTTCTCCGCTCTTGAAGCACAGATGCAGTCACATCCTTTGACTTCATAGAATCATAGAATTGCCCAGGCTGGAAGGGACCTCCAAGGGTCATCCAGTCCGACCTCCCCGCAGTCAGCAGGGACACCCCCAACTAGACCAGGTTGCCCAGGGCCTCGTCGAGCCTCTCCTTGAATATCTCCAAGGATGGGGCCTCAACAACCTCCCTGGGCAACCTGTTCCAGTGCTCCACCACCCTCACAGTGAAGAACCCTCTCCTCATCTCCAATCTAAATCTGTTCCCCTCCAGCTTGAAGCTTGAAGCCATTGCCCCTTATACTTGTAAAGGGAAAAACCTAGCGAAAACAATTTCTGCCCAGCCTGCTGGCCCATCTTTGGCATAATTTCGGAGGTTTGAGTTGCGTGGATCTCTGAGGGACTTGGTGGGGATGAGAGGACACAGCAGTATCAGAAGAGTATGCAGCTCTGCTGAACCTCCCACTTGAATCTGAAGTTGCTAGGGACAAATTTCTGGTCTTGTTTCACTTCCCAGTGTGTAGCCCTGAGGTCAGGCTCCTGTTCTCAGAGACAAGTATAAGCTTGTTACATACATTGTTACTGCCTTCATAGTTGAAATAGTATTGTAAAACTGAGATTAAATCAAGCAATGAGGGTTCTTCACCAAGAACTGGTTCTGTGTTTGTATATGGTAGCAGAGAGACACAGAAAATCTCAAATTTTAGTTATGACTAGGTATGCCTTTACCATATTTTTTTTTTCCCAGAAGCCTTAAACCCAGCCTCAGAAAGTGACTCTGAAATACCTTCAGGAGCTCAAGTCCTATTAAAGCCAGTTACCAAAACATAGTCCAGAGGTGCCTGGATGCTACCTGAGGCCTCTGACTCTTACTCTATAACATGCCATCTCTATTAATGACCTAGGCATTATTGGTTTGCTTTCAGTGCTTATAAATACTCAAAGGGAGGGTGTCAAGAGGATGGGGCCAGTCTTTTTTCAGTGGTGCCCAATGGAGAGCAGATCTCAGGAGAAAGACCTTGGAGTCCTGGTGGACAATAGGATGGCCATGAGCCAGCAATGGGCCCTTGTGGCCAAGAAGGCCAATGGCATCCTGGGGGGCATCAGGAAGAGTGTGAGCAGCAGGTGGAGGGAGGTCATCCTGCCCCTCTGCTCTGCCCTGGGGAGGCCCCAGCTGGAGCACTGGGACCAGTTGTGGGCTCCCCAGTTCCAGAAGGACAGGGAACTGCTGGAGAGGGGACAGCAGAGGGTACAGAGATGATGAGGGGCCTGGAGCATCTCCCTTGCAAGGAGAGGCTGAGGGACTTGGGTCTTTTTAGTCTGGAGAAGAGAAGGCTGAGGGGGGATCTGATCAATGTTTATAAATACTTAAAGGGTGGGTGTCAGGAGGATGGGGCTGGTCTTTTTTCAGTGGTGCCCAGGGACAGGACAAGAGGAAATGGGCACAAACTTGAATAGAAGAAGTTCCACCTCAACATGAGGAGAAACTTCTTTCCTGTGATGGTGGCAGAGCCCTGGCAGAGGCTGCCCAGGGAGGTGGTGGAGTCTCCTTCTCTGGAGACATTCCAACCCCACCTGGACACGTTCCTGTGGGACCTGCTCTGGGTGGCCCTGCTTTGGCAGGGGGTTGGACTAGATGATCTCCAGAGGTCCCTTCCAACCCCATATCATTTATTTAGCAAATCATAAGAAGTTCCACCTCGACATGAGGAGGGCCTTCTTTCCTGTTGGGGGTGGCAGAGCCCTGGCAGAGGCTGCCCAGGGAGGTGGTGGAGTCTCCTTCTCTGGAGACATTCAAAACCCACCTGGACACGTTCCTGTGGGACCTGCTCTGGGTGGCCCTGCTTTGGCAGGGGGTTGGACTAGATGATCTCCAGAGGTCCCTTCCCACCCCATATCATTCTGTGATTCCGTGGTTTATTTGCAAGCTTTGGTATTTAGCAATCTAGGCCAGATAAGCTATAATTTTCCTGTCTTTGATCATTTCATTTGTACAGCTTCGTGAATGCGTCAAGTGGCAATTTGACTGCTTTTACATATGACATCAGCTGGCTCCAGGTTAAAAACTTCTGTGGGACAGATGATGAAGAGAAACACGTAAAAATTACTGCCACGATTGAAACGGTAAGAAGTCCCATATAACATTGCCTGTTTCCTGGAAAAGCTTGGCCTCAGGGCCAAGGGATTTAGCCTCAGGGCTGCAGTTTTTCTGTGATCAAAAAAGTGTGCAACTTGGAGTTACTGTTGCTGGAATACTCTGCTGTATAATAAGACTGTAATGTTTGCAATTTAAACCAGTGCAGTTTACATTACTGTGTTTTAGTGTGAAAGAGTTTCCTTTTTGGACCATCCTGTAAATGTATATTTGGTGAGGCCATGTCAGTAAACAAAAGATAAAAGGGGAGGAAAGTATTATTTCTTCCTTTCAACACAGGATAGAAAAAAAATACTGATTTTCCCCAAGTGGTGGACTTCTCTGGTATCTGTTCTGCCCTTTAAATTAGTTTTTGTTACAGAAAATATGAAATGCTCTTTACTTTTGCTCACAAAATTACTATTTGTGAAATACTAGTTTTTTTGATAAAGTAAACGCCACTTTACTTTCTTTGAAAATATTACTTGAAAACAGTATTACACACATGTTATGATACCAGTACCTTTATTTATTATATGCCTGTTTCCTGGAAAAGCTTGGCCTCAGGGCCAAGGGATTTAGCCTCAGGGCTGCAGTTTTTCTGTGATCAAAAAAGTGTGCAACTTGGAGTTACTGTTGCTGGAATACTTTGCAAACATTACAGTCTTATTATACAGCAATTTAAACCAGTGCAGTTTACATTACTGTGTTTTAGTGTGAAAGAGTTTCCTTTTTGGACCATCCTGTAAATGTATGTTTGGTGAGGCCATGTCAGAAAACAAAAGATAAAAGGGGAGGAAAGTATTATTTCTTCCTTTCAACACAGGATAGAAAAAAAATACTGATTTTCCCCAAGTGGTGGACTTCTCTGGTATCTGTTCTGCCCTTTAAATTAGTTTTTGTTACAGAAAATATGAAATGCTCTTTACTTTTGCTCACAAAATTACTATTTGTGAAATACTAGTTTTTTTGATAAAGTAAACGCCACTTTACTTTCTTTGAAAATATTACTTGAAAACAGTATTACACACATGTTATGATACCAGTACCTTTATTTATTATATATATTTGATACGATAACGTTAAGGAAATGTTTTCTCAACTATGTATAGTGTTAACAGGAATAAGAATATAACGATGATGCATTTCAAGTGAAGACTGCCTTTTGTGGACTGGCAGATTTGTTACTGGCATTAGAGGTGTTAATATTGCTTTTTTTTTATAGGTGATGTCAGATATCAAAATGAAAGCAATACGGGAGCTTCAGCTAGAGGAGGAACTAGGTAAGTCTTCAGCTGCTTTAGTTTTAGATCTGATCATGTTAGAATTTAGTGGCTGGCTTTTCACTTTTTGTATCAGTCTATTCAAAACAACAAATCCACTGCTATTAGGAGTTTTTTGAGGAAGAAAGGGTGCAAAGGACTTAAGTTTCATCTAATCTTGAAAAATACTAGTTTTTTTGATAAAGTAAGCACCACTTTATTTTCTTTGAAAATATTCCTTGAAAACAGTATTACACACGTGTTATGATACCAGTACCTTTATTTATTATATATATTTGATACGATAACGTTAAGGAAATGTTTTCCCAGCTATGTATAGTGTTAACAGGAATAATAATATAACTATGATGCATTTCAAGTGAAGACTGCCTTTTGTGGACTGGCAGATTTGTTACTGGCATTAGAGGTGTTAATATTGCTTTTTTTTTTTGTGATGTCAGATATCAAAATGAAAGCAATACGGGAGCTTCAGCTAGAGGAGGAACTAGGTAAGTCTTCAGCTGCTTTAGTTTTAGATCTGATCATGTTAGAATTTAGTGGCTGGCTTTTCACTTTTTGTATCAGTCTATTCAAAACAACAAATCCACTGCTATTAGGAGTTTTTTGAGGAAGAAAGGGTGCAAAGGACTTAAGTTTCATCTAATCTTGAATAAAAGCGTTACTCTTCCTAGCTTAAAAAATAAATCAATGTAGATCTTGATTAAAATACATTTCATGAAGCTCTTAGTTTTCAGAAGCTGTTAGAGAAGGAATAACCTATTACACTAAGAATTGAAGAAGACTGTTCTTTTTTTTTTAAACCTTATTTCTTGTTTTAAGAAACTCCAGTTTTCTTTCTTTAAAGCTTTTGTTGGTGTCTTTACCTTTTGAAGCACTCGATGAGTTTCATAGTATTTCACTGGTTGTGGCTAGCAGCTGGCTTCAAAGAGCAAGTAATTGTGCACTGAAAGGATAAAAACTGAAACTGTTCACAACATCTCTAGGAACCTCTCTCCAATTGTACTTTTGATGTAGTACCTCCAGAGAGAGGCCTCTAAGATAAACCTGTTGTTGTCAGTAATCCTAAATATGTTATCTGTCTAAACTTCTGAGCCAGATTTCCTATTTGAATTACTTAATACCTCTTTCCCTCTTCCCTGCCCTTCTTGTTCCAGTGAATGACAGCTGTCTTAGACCCATTAATGGAAATGGGAAACTTCTTTCTCCAGGTAAATTTATTTATTTAATCATCTTTCTGTAAGAAGTTTTATCAGGAGACTTTAAGCTTCGCTCTGTCCTTTCCTGGGAGAAGTACACACATGTAACAGCACTAATTTCCAGGCTTAACTGAAGCAGTTATGTGTGGGTTTTTTTTCCCCCCAGATTTATTTATTAGCAAAAAGCTAGAGGTTAAATTTAAATGCTCAGCTTGTTTTTATTACTTGCTTTCCTAATGAGTAAAACTGCTTAGCTTACCTGCCGTTAACAAAGTAAAAAGCCTATTGTTGTCAGTAATCCTAAATATGTTATGTGCCTAAACTTCTGAGCCAGATTTCCTATTTGAATTACTTAATACCTCTCTCTCTCTTCCCTGCCCTTCTTGTTCCAGTGAATGACAGCTGTCTTAGACCCATTAATGGAAATGGGAAACTTCTTTCTCCAGGTAAATTTATTTATTTAATCATCTTTCTGTAAGAAGTTTTATCAGGAGACTTTAAGCTTCGCTCTGTCCTTTCCTGGGAGAAGTACACACATGTAACAGCACTAATTTCCAGGCTTAACTGAAGCAGTTATGTGTGGGTTTTTTTTCCCCCCAGATTTATTTATTAGCAAAAAGCTAGAGGTTAAATTTAAATGCTCAGCTTGTTTTTATTACTTGCTTTCCTAATGAGTAAAACTGCTTAGCTTACCTGCCGTTGTTCATTGACCACTGGCCATGTACTTCAAGACTGGGGGATTTAGCAGAAATTTCTGTTTCCCCTATTGATTGTATAAATTGAAGAGTCTCTACAAGGTCCGTTTTGAATCGTATTTAGTAAATCTGTGAGCCCATGCAGGCAGGATGTAGGAACAACCACAAAACCAGGGATGAAAGGCAAAGAACAAATTTCTTCTCAATACCTCATGGGTTGGGGAGTCTCCAAAGCAGTGCCCTGGCAGAGCAGGCAAGCAGGGGATGCAGGCACCACGGAGTGAGAGGATCCTTGTTAGCAAGGCAGTGAGAGAGCAAGAGAGCTCACACTTGCTTCTCTCACCTGGATTTCCAAGGTTCACAGAATCACAGAATCTTCTAGGTTGGAAGGGACCTTCAAGATCATCTTGTCCAACCGTCAACCTCACTGACAAAAATAGACACCCACACAACAAACAAGGAGCATCATCACTAAACCAGACCTCCCAGCACTACATCAACCCGGCTTTTGAACACCTCCAGGGATGGTGCCTCAACCACCTCCCTGGGCAGCCCATTCCAATGGCTGAGAACCCTTTCAGTGAAAAAATTTCTCCTAATATCCAGCCTGAACCTCCCCTGGCGTAACTTGAGGCCATTTCCTCCTCTGCTGGGTTCTGGCAGGCAGTTTTCCACTGGGCTTTGATCTCTTCAGCAGCAGGGCAGGAATCTCTGGGAATCTTCAATAAGGTGCCCCCGAGTCCATCCCAGGCTTACGTTATCCAGGTGCAGATGTTCTACTTTTTGAGTGCACAAAACTAAACAATTAGTGTGATACACATGTTTTCCAGCACCCCAGTTGCGAGTCACTTGAGCGTCTTTACACTCCTCCTCATCCATCTTCTTTATGTTCCCACTGTACATTACAGAGCAACTTCCTAGATGTTCTAGGAAATAAAGTCGTTGTTCCCTGTCTTTCTAACTTATTTTCCCTGAAACAAAATGGCCTAAAGGTGTGAGAGCATTGCACAAGGTTGAATTTCAGGACAGCTTGAGCAGAAAACTTGAGTCGGGTGGTTACAGCATCCTGGCCTGTGTCAGGAACAGCGTGGGGAGTAGGGCCCGAGAGGTGATTGTCCCCCTGTACTGGGCACTGGTGAGGCCTCACCTTGAGTACTGTGTCCAGTTTTGGGCCCCCTACCATAAAAAAGACATTGAGGTGCTGGAGCGGGTCCAGAGAAGGGCAACAAAGCTGGTGAGGGGTCTGGAGCACAAGTCTTGTGAGGAGAGGCTGAGGGAGCTGGGGGTGTTCAGCCTGGAGAAGAGGAGGCTGAGGGGAGACCTTCTTGCTCTCTCCAACTCCCTGAAAGGAGGGTGTAGAGAGGTGGGGGTCGGTCTCTTCTCTCAAGTCACAGACAACAGGACAAGAGGAAATGGCCTCAAGTTGCACCAGGGGAGGTTCAGGCTGGATATTAGGAAAAATTTTTTCACTGAAAGGGTTCTCAGGCATTGGAATGGGCTGCCCAGGGAGGTGGTTGAGGCCCCATCCCTGGAGGTGTTCAAAAGACGGGTTGATGTAGTGCTGGGAGGTCTGGTTTAGTGATGATGCTCCTTGTTTGTTGTGTGGGTGTCTATTTTTGTCAGTGAGGTTGATGGTTGGACAAGATGATCTTTAAGGTCCCTTCCAACCTAGAAGATTCTGTGATTCTGTTATGGAGGAAGCACCATTAGGTTCCTATTCATTGGGAGAAGGCAGCTGGTGTCTGTGGTTTGTGAAGCACGCTGAATAACATGTGGATTTCTGCTTTTGTAAGAGTGGAGGAGCACGTTCATGCCGTAGCCTGCTCTTTTATTTGCATGAACATGTGGTGCCACTTGTCACTATTTAACTGTGCTCCTGATGGCAAGCGTTCAGCAGAAGAGGACCCCCAGCTTTGCCATTGTTGGGGCAGCAGTGAGAAACTGAGTGCTTTGTGCTTGCTGGGAAACATTTCTGTGTCTTTGATATTTTGCATTAGTAAAACATGGCCAGGAAGCCAAGGAGAGATTAATTCCCCTCCATTCAGCGCTTGTCAGACAACACCTGGAGCATTGTGTCCATTTTGGGGGCTCCCCAATGTGAGACAGAAGCCCTTACTAAGTAGAGCCAGTCCAGAGGAGAGCACCCAGAATGGTCTGGGAGCTGGAACATATGAGATAAGAGTGAAGCTGGGTTTTTCCAACCTGGAGAAGAAGAGGCTTAAGTGGAGGAGGAGTAATTGGAGTAATCCAGGACACCCAACATGGCTTTAC